GGCTCTCTCTTGAGATATCTCTCGTGGAGGTCCTTCTGTTGCCACACAGCAGGGCTGCTCCTTGAGCTTAGAGTTAAATTCTAGATTTGAAGCTTTCGTGACTGCAAGGATTCATATTCTTAGGTTTTTTTTCAGCCGCACCACCTCTACATAAGAAGGCTCAGTCCCATTTACACGCACCTTTACATCATCCGCACCTAGTTTACACAACAAAGGCTCATTCCTAACAGCGTGCTTCAGCCGCACCGAACCTCACAAAAATAATATCCAGGGCCTACCTTGGCTCCTCCCACCCTCAACCAGTATATATATACAAATACTGTTTTCTTGAAATATCTCTCACTTGATACAGCTATCGTGCTGTGACGGTTCCACCTGAAGACGGAAGCTTGTGTTGCCTCCGAAACGTCGTGATTTTTATTTTACTTTTATTAATTAAAATTTAAAATTTTTTACCTACTTGGACTTATAAACTCCATGCCCAGAGTTGATTCCCAGTCACAACGAACACCAGCGGTTAGCGATAATCGTAACTCGTCGTAGACCACCAAACCTACATTGACCAGCTTGGTAAAGTATGGTCGAGCAAACACTCTTTACTGAAATGGTGCAGGGGAAAGCCATTAATCTACCAGTAGCTTGGGCAAAGGGCTATTAATTACTATATTACAGTATAGTTCAGTGTGGCCTTGGTAAGTGTGACTGTTCCTGGAACAAATTCAAGCATTCCTTATGCTTGTCTGCATTCAAAAAGGCAAGCAGCCAAGATATCAGCACGGTTTAATTATTTTTTACAATGGTAAATAAAGCGCTTTTTAAAACCTTTTAGTTTGAGTAGGGTTTAAACACATCAATCAGCAAACATTGTGCATACCTTCACGCTACAAGCCAACACCACCTTTATATCTATTCCAGATGGCTCTGAACTTGTGAATAAATTGGGACCGATGGGCCAAAAATTCCGCTTTACAAACTAAATTATATTCTTGGTTCTTTCGGTAGTCACGTAGAAGGCAAATAAAATAATAAAAATAAAACATAATAAAATCAAATTCACGACGTTATATTATGTTTAATTTTTATTATTTTATTTCCCTTCTACGCGACTACCGAAAGAACCAAGAAGATGAATCCCTGCAGTCACAAAAGCTTTAAATCGAAATTTTTATTCAAATTATATTCAAAGTTTTCCCGTCACTGTGGGATTCTGCCATGGTTAGCACACTGGATTACAATCCAGAAAGTTGTCTGTTCGATTCAATCTCCGGGCATGGCAGTCCCCACGCCTCTGTCGACCCAGCAGTATAAATAGGTATGCGCCGCAGCTATTCGATAGGAAGGTTGGTTGTGTGGTGGGGTAAAATGTGGGTACTAACACTTCTTCCAAGCTGTATGACCAGCGTGGAAGTGGCCAAAATACCCTCAAGGAGACACTCTAGAGCTCTCTCGTGTCAGTTTCTCTGCCAGCAGTAGTGCGCATGCAGGAAATTGCAGGGCTGTAATTGACAGCAAAATATTGGCAACATGAACTTTATATATTAGTTTATACATTCTTATCACCTGCACTTCAGTTCACGAATAAACAGCATATGGAGTTGTGGCATAATTGTTGCAATACATATTTTTACGCAATATTTTCAAACCAAAATGTTCCCGTTACGGTGACAACAAGCACAGCAAGTACAGCCCCCGCTGTGCTTATTTTAAACACATTACCTACGAAAACAAAACACTTTTATTTTAAACAAAGTCTTATCACTGCTTGTCAACTCGTTCAGTATCGGGCGGTTGTGGACGTGTACCAGAGGTCGCAACCGGGTACCCGATACCCGTACCCTACCCGATACCCGGCTACCCGTACCAGGCCGGGTACGGGTACCCGTTTGCGACCCTGGTGCGGCCGGGTACGGGTAAGGAATCAAAACCCGTTTGCGACCTCTGACGTGTACCACGCGATGCAACAAAAAAAACCTCGAGTTGAAAAGAACCTGACCCCCGTCAGAGGAGCATGACACGGACTGCCCCTTTGCGTGGGGTGAGACGCGTCATCGGGGCTTGCGGCACGGACGCCGATAAACTTTATACAGACAAGAGGTGAACAAGTGGCTCAGCAGGTCAATTGCCGTGTCAGCACTCGGGGCCAGGAACATTGAGATCCACGTTTCAAATTTGGGTTGCAGCTAGCAGTGATTAACCCAGGCTCTCAAGTGTAGCGAGCTGATCGTTTCAGCCTGGTAACGGATGTCTCAGGGGGGAGGGAGGAGAGAATCTAATTAACTTTGGTTTGACACTTAAATTGGTTGTATTCCATCTTTGAAAATTAACCCCTTTTTGTTTCATTTTTAAATCCTTTATATTAAGTTCACTTGCTTGCTTGCGCACTTACGACAGTGCAAATCTTTCGGTCGTTTTTTAACCCACTTCCCGTGATCCAATCGAGCTGATATTTTGCACACACTCGTTGTGCGTGACAATTTATTTTCGTGAAAATTTTCTCGTTACTTTGCACTTTTAGGAATTATTTTATATTTAATTACCAATTGCTTAATGGTGGCAGGCAATCATCTGACCCATAGGTGGCAGCCATCTCAAGCCAGAGGACGAGAGGACTCTAGCCGCCACGCATATAAAGGATTATAGTGAAAAACTTAGTTTTTACGGGTTAATTTTTTATGAGACAAACATCTCCAGTAGAACAGTACGTGAGAAGATAACATCGCCTAATGTGGATCAAGAGGCAACTTGGAAGGCACCTCTCAGCAGCGGTTCTGTGAAATCTCATTCCACAGGCCGTTCCCAAACGTGGGGTGGATGCACTGCTAAATGCGAGAGTTCGATGGAAATGTCTTCGTGCCATAAGACAAAGACAGTGGTAAAAAACACGTAGGACAAATAGGTGGGAAAATAAAATAAACAAACATGTGGATTCACATAGCATCTAAATGTGACCGCATCTCCTGACGCTGTACAGAAACAGTGCGGATATTTACTTTAGCAGTCGGTCATAGGCAGGCAGAGGAAAAAAGTCTTGAGCGCAATCATACGTACAATTGACTCCTACACCCTCAGAATTATACTCAAGAGATATACAAACCCTTAGATTTACATAAACCCTTACACAACACAATGTGATTTAGATTTGTTATTTTTTTTTTATCTACGTGGCTTTACCGAAAGACCCAAAGAATATGAATTCCTAGTCACGAAAGCTTTAAGTCAACATTTAACACAATGTGGAGTTATTTTAATTTAAATGTGACCCCATCTCAAGGCTGTACAAATACCGTCGGCATAGTTATTTTATAGCGGTAATTAGTCATAGGAAAAAAGGGTAAAAAGTATTGAGATTGGACTTGTAATAGATTTTAATAAAGGATACTCGCATAGAAACTAATAGAATCACATTCTTTTAGACTGGAGAAATCTTAAGAGCTATGAAGCTCGTTTTCACCAATATCCAGTAGACTTACACAGACACCCATATATTCACAGAGATCATGACAAATTAGACGTAGATTTATACAATAGCTAAATGCAACGGCATCTCAAGACTGGTGGGCACATTTTACAGAGGCAGTTAGTCACGGGCAGAGTAAAAAACAAGGTGAAAACGTCTTCTTGGTTCTTTCAGTAAAGTCACGTAGAAGGGAAGTAATAAAATAATAAAAATAAAACATAATAAAATAATTCTCACAACGTTTCGGCCACAACACAAGCAGCCGTCCTCAGGTGGCCGAAACGTCGTGAGAATTATTGTATTATGTTTTATTTTTATTATTTTATTACTTCCCTTCTACGTGGTGACTTTACCGAAAGAACCAAGAAGATGAATCCCTGCAGTCACAAAAGCTTTAAATCGAAATTTAAGGTGAAAACGATTATCAGAAAGTGCAGAAGCTTAAACACACAGCATTGCAGCTTTGGAGACTGAGGCACACTGCACCACCCAGCTGTGTCTTTCCCACAACCACATGGTACAGTCCCACACAAGTTCACTGATCACACAAACAATGTACAGCCTCGGTGCGTAGGATACTCTTATCAGCAGCTGTTACGACATAAGCAGAAGTTGCCTTTAACAAGTTCAAAACTAGGAACCATTAAACTATTTTTATTTTATTAAAACTACCAAGCAAGGCCCACCAAGCTATAGAGTTATTTTTCAGAAGCGACCTGGCCACAAAATTATAGATCAACGAAGTTGCTTTATTACCACGAGGATATTTATCACAAACACTTTAAAAACGCAGGTTGATTGTAAATGTGGAGGGCAAAACTGGAGGACCCAGACAAAAAAACCATGCGACTATGGGGAGAACACGCAAACTCCAAATATACAGGTGTCAGGATCAAACCCACGACCTCCTGTATACCACGCGAGGGAGTTAACATCTCCTAGTCACCTTGATGCCAAGTTGAGCACCCTTTGGATGGCAAGTAGCTGTTGCAGTCTTAATTTATATATTTTGCATTGAAAAACCAAGGAAAAAAAGTCAGATCATGACTAAAAATTGAATGAAGAATCTTTTCATTGGTAAAATTGTGTTGTAATTTTCAAGACACATGCGCGAAATTGTGCATTAAAAAAAGATACGATTTTTTAATGTCTGTTGCGCTTATAAAGTTGTCTGTTTATTTAATAGATTCATAAAGGTGTAGATTTTAAATATGTGCTGCTGTATATTCCACAGATTAATAGCTCTACAAATTATGAAGATTCATAACACCATACGCCCTACAAGATTTACACCACTACCTTATAAAGAGGAATCATCATTACGTGTGACAGTCAAAACAATATTTCATTCTCACAGCTGTAAAAATGTTGATTTGAAATAAAAAACAAATCTTTTTTTTATTTGATTTCACAGCTTTTGTTGTACAGATATTGGTGAACCCCAGGATCTCAAGCAGGGCTGGTTCAGCTCTCTCGGACCTCCGAGTGACCTGGCCACCACGTCACTCAGCCGACATCATGCTGTCAAGTGTTTGATGCCCACCTGCAGCCGAACGTCACAGAACTGTCCGCTCTTGCGCAGCGCGTTCAGCTTGGCGGCCGTGGACGCCCAGAGGTGGTCGTCCTCGAATACAAAGCAGCCGTTTGCCATCATCGTCGATTGAAGGGAAATCTGTACGGGACAAAGTGAATTAAACATAATTGACATCAAAAGACAGGTCACACTTGTATAGCCTACAAAGGCTGTTTGGTAAAGTTATGTTCCCGAGCGCCATTTACACACAAACATCCCTGCCGTGTAGCCTGAACAGACTTTTGGGGCAAGTGCTGTTAGCAAATAACCACCCCTACGGGATACATGTGAAAAAGAGCTTTATAGCTCAGATTCCTCCAATATTGGCGAATGCAGAGCAAAGTGACGTGATCAGAGGGCAGTGCATATAATGCCATTGTTTTACTGTGACTACACCTCTATCACCGATGCTTCCTGCCTTTCACGAACCTGTACCCACCAGCGTGAAGTAACATAAAATAACCACAACGACCCACACGGCGCGCGAAGGCCCTCATCCAGCAGCAGTGCATGGACAAAAGGGTTAAACGCGTACTTTGCTGGCACTGAACGCAGAGTTGATGTGGCCAGCACACCATCCTCAGCCACTTATCTACCCGATGCCGATATTTATACACTGCGCCAGCTGCTCATTCAACCTAGGGGAGGGGCCAGGACGAGTTCAAGATTTCACTCACCAATGATGTTTAGCCGTGGCTGGAAATCACTCAGGTTGCCAGGTTCAAAGCGCAGAGTGCTAACCACCATGCTACCTCCCTATTTATCCATGAAACATTTCAAATAAATGTAGGTCTCAGCAATGCACTTCATGGCTCATTGACACAACTGCTTTTTTTAAAAAGATGCAAGCTGATAAAATCTCAAAAGCCAGCGAGATGTTGAAGAATTCTGTTCACACAACTCATGGGCATCCTGAGAGCACTGCGTGTGTATTTTACCAAGTTCAAGGCTTGGCAAAGCAAGTACTTTAAGGTCTTGAAAAAAAAACTCTCAAACACCCAAGAATTCCACTTAAAATCCTTTATGCATACAAGGCTAGGTGGCATTGTAATCAAAATGCTCCACTCAAACTATCATTGCTCCATACATTTCTTTATCAATCCACCAATGGATAAAGTCCACCCTCCCCAGGAATTTAGGTCATAGGGGCTATCCGATCATACTTCACCATCCTGGTCAGTGTGGCTGTCTAACAGGCTGGGAATTGAACTTTGGACTGGCAGGTTCATAGAGCAATGCACGAATGATTGCACAGTCACGCGACCCCCCATTATCATCTCTCTAGAGTCGATAAAATGAGCACCACTTTATGGAAAGTCAACAACAGTCAACTTGTGTATATACTAACTATGGAAATGTGGAATTTCCATGACGGATTCAGGGTCCCCAAAGGAAATAAATGCAGTTCCCATGCTCATTGAAAACCGGGAGACAACTTTTTTCACCTTAGCTAATAAGCAGATAGCCAAATGTCTGAAAGACAATGCCATGAGTAATTTGAAGCCCTTCACAGAATACAATGAGATAATGATGAGAACATCGGTGTAATTGTAGCACCTACTGACAGCCTGAACCAGACACAAAACAGGACAAAGTCCATTTAATGTCAATATACAATATTCTATGCAAGTGACCGAATTTTAAGGCGACAGAACAAAAAATCATGAGAATATTTACCTTCATAACATAAGCTGAAATAAGTCCGTTAGAACGGTGGTCAGTTTTTAGATAGGAGGTACACAACAGAATCCGATAATCCACGTTGATACGGTGAGGACCGCATCACGCATCCTGTAAAAATCTGCGGCTCGCCGCATAATTTGGGAGAAAATAATCTGCAAATAAACGTTCATGCCAACGCAGTGTGCGGCAAATTTAATGGGCGAACGAGCCACGGCGTTTCCATTAACCCACAAAAACGCGGCAGATTTCAAGCAAAGCACCAGAAGCAAACTAAATCTGCAATAAATTTTGCAGATTACGAAGTAACTTTTTTTCTAAAAACCAAATGGTGCAAAATCTGCCATATGGGGTCGGTCGCTGTTAAAAGGATTGCTTTTACACGTTTTAGATTTCATATCCAAGTCTAAGAAATGCAAAACTAATTTCCGCACCGCATCTAGGCAGATTGCAAAGCGAAATTAGAAAAACTGCTAAACTAAAAATAAATCTAACCTCCCCATTTTCCCTGCAGCTCCGCATTAAGCCCCCAGGCACTTCTAGGAGTCACGGTTTGTGGCGTTCACCCAGCCGGAGTGCCGTGCGATGAGACCAATAGCGATCTTCTCCCCAAATCCGTGAATTACAGCTATTTGCAAATTATTTGTTGACGGACGCTCGTATTTCTGCTGTATATTTGTATAGCGAAGCAGTGTCATGATTGTGGTAAGATTAACGTTTATAATCTTAGGTGATCCATTTATTCAAGAAAGTCCAAGTCAATGCTCTTTTCTGAAGGGTACTGCATCGGTGTGATGATTGATTAATTCCATTTAAAATCGCATTATACAGTGGCGTATTTGTTTAAAACCCCTATTGAGAGGTCTTTTATGCTATGAGACATCTCCTTTACCAGTGGCAAAATATAGTAATAGGTTTTTACCCTTTTGGCATCATCTGGTCCAACACCAATGGAGACTAGGCTCTAAGAAAAGCTGTCTCGGGTGTGGACCAATCAACTTCAAGGACAGTGCTTATCATGATCAGAGTTGTTTCTTTTGTTTGCATTTTGACTGCTTGTGTTGTGGTTATTGCAAACATGATGCCTTGTATAAAGGTGTCAGTTTTTGCACCAGTTGAAAGGGTACAAACCTATTACTAGGTCTTTTATGGTTTGATGTGGTGGTTGCTTTCCTTGGGTGGTTATGAAACACTTTATATCTGCCATATGCAAGTGCAAACATCCAATCATATGGTGTTACCGCAAACGAAATAACATACGTACCAAGGGTGAACGGGCAGGTCTTGAAATGGAAAGAAGCCCTTCAAGTAGTCTCAAAGGTTTGTGCAAAACAATAAATAATTTAAGGAGTTAATATTTTTTGTCGTTAACTGAAGCTAAAAAAAAATGCTGTATATTGCAACTCTCTCAAATTAGAAGGCCAACTAACACCAGTTATTTTTAAATTTGGACAAATTTGTTGTTGTTGTATGGCTTTGACAGCGAGTGGAAAATTATACAATAAGTCTTTAAGAGTCGAAATGGAAATTCTTGCAAGATTGTGCTCGTCTTGCAAATGGGTAGTGGAGTGGATGTACAAATATATATTTTAAAAAAAAGTAAATATGGAAGGGGATGATATGTAGAATGCTCCACCGAGGCTATAGATTCCTTGTACCACTGTCTGGTTTTGGCTGAAACACAAAAAAGAACAAAAAAAACATTCAACTCACAGAATACAAATCGGACAATCTTAACGGTTCATTCTCCTGCTACGAATCATGGGCACACAAACATTCCTTCCGCACAGCAGAGTCATCCAATACTTCTCAGAAAAATTTACAGAAATAAAGACTATCTACAGAAAACCAGGCAAAGTGGCAAAGTTCCAACTCCATGAGCTTCCATAAACCATACAAATGCTTTTCTTTTATATACCGATTTGAAATGAAAAACAGAAGACAGCGAATTATTAATAATTTAAAAGCGTATAGTAAACCGAAGGAAAAAAAGCATTTAAAAAATCTATAATTTTAGATGAATCAATACATTTCGGGGTTGAGTGATGGTACAGGGTTACGATGTTACGCTGTAGACTCGGCAAAACAGAGTTCAAATCCTGACCGTGGCTAACATCAGTTGGCAGGTGGTTTCTGAACTGGTCCCTGCTCTTGCCGCGCGCGGTACCAACCCCACGTTGACCAGCCAGCGTGGCGAATTACTCTAAATATCCCCCATGACGAACACGGCATGGGTAGGCCTTCATCCAGCAGTGGATTAACAAAAGACATGTATTACCGGTAAAAAAATGTTGGGCCTCCAAAATTCGAGAACATGGACCATTAAGTTATTTTGGTAGGGACAGAAGTGACGCCGAAAACCAAAAGAGTGTGTGAAGCCTGCTACCATATGCTAGCTGCATATAAAACTATTTAAAAAGCATTATTTTGAAAACTAAAAGCTCATGGTGTTGCAGTGACGGTTAAAAAAAAAACTCCCATATTTTTTTCTATCCACAAATATATCTTTTAGCCCACCAGACAATTGCCTACCCAAGGCCAATATTAAATCAGCAGCATTTGTTTAAACACCCAAATCCTGCAGCAGTTTCATGTAAACCCGGACATAACATGAATGATGCAACACAAGGGGAACTGTTAGGCAGGAAATCACGTTTTCAGACTTGAGTGTGCTTCCACCAATGAGCCCCAACACTCAGAAAATCGAGGACAGTGAGCTGCCCACGTGGCTCAGACAAGAGCTGAGCTGGCATTGCAGAGCCCTCAGCGATGTACAGCGATTCTTTGAGGAGGGGCTCTCCACACCATGTCGGCCACGAGGGCTATTTAACCATAATGCACCGCGGTAGGTCAGTCCGGGTTCGTCAAGGAAAGCAGGCAGCACAAATGAGAGAGTAGTCTACAATTATTAACAGAAAATGACTTTGCTGCAATGCCCTCTGCTGCCCACCACCCAGCCTAGCAGCCGGGCACGCATAGCCATGCTCAATCCTAGATTTTAAGTTTTCGTGACTGCAAGGATCCATACTCTTTGGTTTTTTCGGTAAAGTCACGTAGGGGGGGAAACAAAATGAAAACTAAATTAAATCACGACGTTTCGGAAACAACACAAGCCTCATCAGGTGCGACTGCTCCAGAAAAATTACTGTAGCGTATAAATATACCCTATATAAAACCACGTGTCTCTAAATAGCTCGCTTTAAAAGCTACAGTAATTTTGCTGGAGCAGTCACACCTGATGACGGAGGCTTGGTGTTGCTTCTGAAACGTCGTGATTTCATTTAGTTGTTTTCATTTTTATTTTGTTTTCACCTACGTGACTTTACCGAAAAAACCAAAGAGTATGCTCAATCCTGCTTAGTTTCTGAGACGACCGCATATAAAAAAAAATCTGTACCAGACAGTCAACATGGTGCAGACCGAGTGTGTGCTGCACGTTATAGGACAGATGAATAGTTAAAACGTTCTTGTTGTTAAAAAACATAATGGGGGGGGGGGGGGGGTATAAAAAAACATGAAAAAGAAAACAGTGATCGAGTTGTAATGGTACCAACACCAACAATGTAAAAACTGCATTTATAACAAGATAAACAGTGTGCTCGACACAATAAACAATGACGAGCACGCGCACTCAAGAGGACGGGAAGGAGACCCCAAAGGCAAATGAAAACACTCGTTGATATGGAAAAAAAGAAAATGAAAACAGGTTTACACAGGACACAGCAAGCCACTGTTAACCGAACACACAAACCGTTCCTATTCACGTGGGTTGTTAGACGTCAATCATGAGCAATGGAGCGTACGAAATATGTACTGTACTCTTACACCAGTGACTCATTCTAGCATGTTAAAAAGGAGGCACTTGCACAGCGGTTAGCCCACTGCACTAGGAACCAGTTCAATTCACGGCCACAGCAGAGATCAGTGGCAAGAGCTATTAGACCCAGCCCTACCCCACCCAACGCTGCTAACCAGGGAGGTGAAAAATGGTAAAAAAACACATGACAAATAAGGGTGTGGGGGGAGGCCTTTTTAGCGTACTGGGTGGGAGTCAAAATGGCTTCACGTGAATTGGTTCTTTCGGTAAAGTCACGTAGAAAGGAAATAATAATTATAAAAAAAATATAAAACAATATTGTTTTAAATATAAAACAATATTGTTTAATATTTTTTTAATTTTATTATTTCCCTTCTACAGGACTAAAAAAATTATAAAACAATATTGTTTTAAATATAAAACAATATTGTTTAATATTTTTTTTATTTTATTATTTCCCTTCTACAGGACTTCACCGAAAGAACCAAGAATATGAATCCCTGCAGTCACGAAGGCTTTAGAATCAACATTTACCTTGTGTGTGGCTTTAAACAATATTACAGACACAAATTAAGCGTGTACAACTTCAGCCTTGAATAAGTATTGGAAACAAGCGATCAATTTTGTAAATATTTACTTCCTTAGTGCGTGTATCGCCGTTTGAGTACACATGCGGTATTTTATGCATAACCAAATGTTCAGTACAAGGCTAAAAACAAACACCATGTAAGAATGGCTTATGCATGTGTTAATGAATTATGGGTTTTTTGGTCTGTATGGTAGATCAAGTAAACCAGGAATATACAGTACAGGTCTTGTCAATCCACTGCTGGACAAGGGCCTCCACACAGCATGCTGGTCAAGGGAGTTATCGGACAGTAATACTGGTAGGAACCTTCCGGTTACACCAGCCCACAGGGGATTATTGTGTCCGTCCGTCGTGCAGGGTGGGGCTGGGTGGGAGGGGCTGGTCCACCCCGTGGTGCCCTTATAAAAAACTCAACGTTTAACCTACTCACACCGGCTTGTGCCCGCCCTCAGTCGGGCATATTTGCGGAATACACCACGCCGCCGTTGACCCTGGCCATTGACCGAGCAACCCAACGATCCTACCAGCTCACAGAAATGTGTTTTACCATCCTGGTAAGCGTGTAGGCCAGGGGTGATGGCAACCTGCGGCTCCGGACCTGCATGTGGCTCTTCACAATGACTGCTTTGTGACATTAACAATTATCAGAGACCACCGTCCCGTATTAAAAAATCACATGCATTGGCGGCTCTTGAAACATTGAGGGGGCTTTTTTTTTACTGAAAAATGGCTCTTCTTGTTCTTTTGGTTGCAGACCCCCTGGTGTAGGTGAATTAATGTGAAAACATTCACCTAGAAAACAAATACATGGCAGAAGCGCTATGTACCGCTGCCCACCAGAGATGGCCTTTACCAACACCGTCATACAGTGGTACATGTAACTAAAATAAGGATGTATTGACCTAGGATTTAAATGGGAGGCAAATGCTAACCACACACACAGAATTGTCTACGCTAAGAATAGCTCATTTCAGATTCGCGCAAATGTATGCAAATATGCCCTCTAGGCTGGAGGTCGGAACAATACTGTAAAAGACAAACGGTACACATAACAATACAGGGCACAAAAGGCAAACCGTGCAGGCAGTTCAAGTGACAAAAGAGGAAACCATACATCTGAAAAACACCACACACACGGTAACAATGGACACAGAACCAGGCACAAAGGAGAACACACTAAAAAATAGAATTACATCTCAAATCACAGACCACAACCCTGAATTGTGACAATTCATTGAAGCGTGGTGGGGGGGTGAGGTCGTGAATCATTACATGCTTAATACTACAGTACACACATGTCCAGTCTATTGTCAATCCAATAATGTATTAGAGCCTCCCCCTCCTATGCCACATCAGTCATGGGGGATTATTTGCCCCGACTTGATCGTGGTCAGGGTGAGTTGATGAAGGCAGGGGAGCACAGATGAGTACAGCACAATAATGTGTTGTTATTTTTTGTTGCAGAGTCTTCTGCTACTCACTGTTGCCTCGCAGCCGAAAAAACAGTGCTGCGGACAGCGATTACCCATCCAAGCACTATCCGGGAACCAAACCAGCTTAGCTACGGGATGTCCGATGAGATTGGTTCGCATTTGGAGCAATTTGGTGAGAGGCAATTTATAGTAAAGTATAACGTCGCATATCCGACTCTCACACACATTCACCCAAAACAATTATCGGTCTTGCATACAGCGCGGTAAACCGTGCGTGCGTCAACTGGCATTTTCACAAATCATAAAAATGTCTTAAAACGCATAACAACGTATTTTTAACCCTCGCGTGCATTTTGCTCACTTCAAAAGCACGGCGAAGAATTGTCGCGTGCGGACCCCGCTCAGATTTCCAGCAGCGCGTAAAAACAACGCGTGGTGTAGCCGTCATTGTGTCGAGGCGTTCACACATTGTGTCATCTGACAGTGTTCACCCACCATATTGCAGGCCAAAACACACGTCTATTCCTGCTTCTTCCCTTACACTGCTCCAATTGGGAATTCCCTCACATATAACCCCCCCCCAAAAGTTCTTAAGACCCTACTCAATTAAAGAAATGTTTTAACTAAATCAAATTAAAACTTGAGTGCTATTTGTTGCCGACCGCGTTTGTGCCCTTTGGCCCTTTGTGCCCGCGTTTAGCAATTGTGTCCGTCCAATGTTATCCTGCCTTTTCACAAATCTGCCTAGATACATCAGGTCGCCAGCAAGCCGGGCATGCGGCGTTGTACCGGGCCACGGGGTCATTCAATTCAAAGTGTGCACACAAAACACGAT